AATTCTTCCTACTACCCTCATGAAAGAATAACATTCTTTAAGCCTTTGTACCTTCACTGAAGAGAGAAAAATGACTAATTCTCACAGTAGCCCATTTAGTGTAAAACTAAATGAAGACAAGGGATGACTAATATGCATCAGTCACAGAGGACGGAGATTTAGGGCGGGAAGATGCTGGCTCCCTCCCACTCCGGTACGTTCTCAGCTTCGGAATGATTCAGAGTAAGAATTTTGGCTTTGCTTTACTAGATGATCCAAAGGTGCACACCATAAGCAGAACAACGCCTGCAATCTGGTGAAATGATCTTTTACACTTAGAGAAGCAGGAAATAAAAAAATGAAAAAAATAATAAAACAAATGCTCCTCTGTTTTCCTTGCGGTGATAAAACGCTCTACCTAGAGTGCGCATGTCCCTTCCCTCTCCAGTCACAGCAGCACGTCTCCTCTTTCAGGTCACGTCTTTCACATAAAAGTGCTAAACTAATGCTGCTTAATGACAAATTAATGTCCATGAATAAAAAATACACCTCTAATAGCACAGAGTAATTTGCCATTACAATATCATCATTGGACATGCCCCTGGTTTAATACGATGTATTTAATTCATAACCTAATGAGTGATATATAAAAAGAGGGAGATGAACCCTGCAATTACATTTATGTGAGTCTGTCACCTTATTTGTAAAACCTTAGAGTCATTTACATTCAAATTAGAACAAATGAGTGATTTCACAAAGTGCAGTGATAAATGACCACAGCAGCCCAAGACAAAACTGTATTTCCTGTGAACACATTAACAGTTTCCTATTATTTGTTAAAAATTACAGTGCATATTGCCCAGTGTGGTGTGAATAATGACTTTTTTACTGATTAGGTCAGAAGACTAATATGTAGCAAAATAAATAATTTTTCTTTTCATTTTTTCTGATTTTTTGCTTTAACTACTTAATTCTGGTGGATTCATACTGCCACCTGCTGCCTAGGAAGAGATACTGCGTGTTCTTTCCATAGGAGTTTAGTCACCACTTGTGCGGCCTTATTTAGAAAGTGTACATGACCGTTCTTTTTTGTCAATATATTTAAATTGCATATCATACTAAAGGACGATTTGGCAAACAAACAAAAACCACTTGCTAATTAAACAATAGGATATACTATTTGCTATCTGGGAGAAGTGGTATGAAATGTAAGGTGTTTTTTTTTTTTTTTTTGAAAGCTAACTACAAAAAAAGACATTTTCAGCAAAGCGTGTATCTCCTAATGCATCACTTTCAAAGCATACGACACAAAGTCCAGTGGCCAGCTCCACTCATCCTGTGACAGGTGCATCAGCAGAGGAGGGAGTGAGGGAGGGTGTGTGTGTGTATGTGATGTTTTCCCAACTCCTGCTCCTTGGTACAATCTGAAGGGGACTGAGAGGTTCTGCCTGCCACCTAGCCTTCTCCCCTAATGTGGCAAGTCCCGGAATGAAAGGTCACCTTAGAGGCCAGAGCGCAGTGGGCTAGGAAAGGCACTAAGGCTGCAGAGGAGGCTGGGGAGGAACAAGCATGGCCTCAAAGATGAGGCTAAGGATGCTCCAGAATGGTCATCAGGGGAGCTCATCGGTATTTCCATTGGATCAACAGCCTAGTTCTGAACTTAAGTTTCCCCATTTGTAAAAAGGAAAGAATACTCACCTGCTTTAAGGGGTTCCTTAGCAGAGGGAAAATGAGAATCACTGTCCAAAACGCTCGGTATGGAGAGGCCCTCGACAAATGCTATTTCCCTACCCTGAGAAAGATAACGAAGGCTCTGGGGACTATGGTTTGGCATGGAGAAAGGCTAGAAACAAGCAGACCCCTCAGGAGGATATGAGGAACTCACTACAATCTATAGCCAGTAGCGATGAGAGCCCCCCAAAAGGGTAAGAGCATTAGCGATGAAGAAAAGGATCAGGTCTGAGAGGTATTTGGGATGTAGAATCAACTCAGCTTGGTAACTGATTGGATACGACCTGTGCTGAGAATCCGTGTGTTCACAAGGGCCTGGCATCCAGAGGGCCGGGGGACTAAAAATGAATAGGGTGAAGGTTCCACAGCATAGGAGGCTAATTCAATGGCTATCCTCACTAACAGAGGGGCACTGCTCCTGCAGTTTGAGGCCCCTGCTCTCAGCAGCCTCCCCGAGGAAAGGCAAGAAAAAGGAGAGCACACAGTGGCCTCAAGGTGTCCCTTCCCTTTGCTGGGGGGCACCAGCATTTACACCTGTGCAGAGGAGTTTCAAGCCAAGGTAATAGCTGATGGCCCAGAGACTCAGAGAGTGTCAACCCAGGGGTTCTCCTCAGCTATGATTGAGCGCCAGAGGACAATAGGAGGTATCAGAGCAGAGGTCTACCTTTTACAACTCTGGAAGAAAACCAAAGAAAGGGTGGTAATTTGATAATAACAAACAGGACCAGACATCTTAGCAGGGGAGAATGGCTTCACAAACTCCTATGTGGACAAAGTACTGAACAAGAATGGAAAATATGCTAGCCTTGATTGATAGGGAACAACTTTTTATTCATTTATTTATTTTTTTTTTACTTTTTAATTTTGTTTAAGATTTTATTTGAGAGATAGAGTGAGTGAGAGAGAGAACACACAAGCAGGGGCAGAGGCAGAGGGAGAAGCCGACTCCCCTGCTGAGCAGGGAGCCTGACTCGGGGCTCAACCCCAGGACCCTGAGATCATGACCTGAGCTGAAATCAAGAGTCAGACACCCAACCGACTGAGCCACCCAGGCGCCCTGATAGGGCATTTCTAAGTATATTTTAAGCACTAAAGATTTTTCATTTTAACAAAACACATTTTTATATAACCAATAAAATGGTCCGATATAAAATTAAGAATCAGGTCAGCAATAATACCAAAACACTGTAAACAGATATGGTTATAAGACTATATCAAAATATAAAAGCAGACCAACCCAGTTTGGAAATCTTACAATCCTAAAAAAGAGAGGAAGGGAATGTATCTTCAAAAGACAGACATAATGAAGATTTCTACATACACATGGCTTGATTCTCTTATAGTCAAAGTTTTCTTCCCCAATTTGGACATCTTGCAACATTGCGGATAAAAAGGAAAAATAAAGTTCCATGAAAGAACAAAATGAAAACATTGGAGAAAAGAAAGTGAAAATTTCAACCACTGATCAAGTAGGCTAATAATAAGCAAACTGTCCACAAAATATATCTGTATGCAGGCTACATTTTTTCTTCAACAAAATAATGAACTGCAAAAATTAAGTTCCAAAGTGCACAAGTCACTTGGTATCTCAACAAATTCATCTGACGGGATAGGGGAAAATACCCATGAACTTCTGATGTTCATCTGCAATTCTTGTTTATAGAAATTATAGGTGTAGGTAAACACACACACACACACACACACACACACACACACCTGTATATACACACCATTTTAACATGAATCACAATAATGAGCACTATAATCAAACTTTTGGCAACATACATCATTGAATATTACCTGCCATGGAAAAAGTGAATCAGGTGATGATGCTGAAGGCTCAAGTTGCAATATTTGATGTAAAAATGTCAAATAAAAGTAATTTCAATTTCACAAGTCAAACACACACCTCTTAAGTCTTGTAACCTTTGTTATTTCCATTTGCTACTTGCAGAAAGGGATTAAAAACAGCTCTCCCATACCACCCAACAATATTGAGGGGAAAACAAAGGAAAATCAGATGATAATAGTTAAACATTTACTATTAGATTAAATGCACAGAGATAATGATAAAACTTCCATATACTGTGTTTGAACTGCTCCTCAGGTGAATGTGGCTGACACTTCTCATACTATCTCGCAGGGAAGCATTGGTTCTTATTTTCCAAGGTTGCCAGGAAGACGAAATAAGATGATACATGAGAAAGAGCTTGAGAAACGACCTATTGAGTGACAGAGGTCAATAATATGGCTGTATTCAGAATTAGAGAAAATGACTAGGAAGAAAATAAAATAATGGGGCAGGAAAACAAATAGGATTTTTATACTTACTAATATGTCATATGCACAAGGATAGTAAAATTAAATTGTATGGATTTGTCATTGTTAAAAATATATTTTCACTGTTGTTATAATGTTGTAACAAATATAAGTAAAAAGTCATGCCAGTGGAGGAAATAAGAGGCTCCCAATACAGGGAATCGGTACTTAACTCCTTAAAATAAAAGCCTTACAGCCATACTGTCTGCCTAAGATGTCCTGTTTCTTCCTAATGAACCAAAAAGGTTTTATCCAAGAAGAAAAAATTGTCTTCAGAATCAGAGAGGCCTATCACTCACTAGCTCTATCACCTCAAGCAAGCTGGGTATCTTTTAAATCTCTGACTTTTCACCTATAAAAATGTGCAAAGATGTTAGGAGGACTGACCGTGAAACATCGGTGCTCAGAGGATGGGCGTTTTCTCTTCCTCCCCCTCCCAGAGCCCTTCCTGATCATCCCAGAAAACCAGGGGAAGAAAGCACAGATCACTAACCCCCTTTTCAGCACTTTTTGCCTGAAAAGTTCATGTGGTACTTCATTATGTATGACTTTGTGATATATTAGCTACTGTTGCTGAAATCTTCAGTGACTATCCAACTTTTTTGTGCATTTGGGATTGTTATCCCTGCAGCCAGACAACATTGCTTCAAATGAAGACCCTTCCCAGTGTCATCTTCTGGGGCCCCAGCAATAAACCAGGAGTGTGGTCAGTGAGTTACTCTGCCCCCCAGGGCAGCGAGGACCTGGGGTGGGCAGGGAGGTTGGGGGTCCTGGGACAGGACTGGAGAGCTGCAGCTGCCCCCTTGGGAGCCTCGTGGCCCATGTCCTGGAGAGATTCTACCATCACAAGCCACATCGCCCCTACTTCCATTTTTCCTGTCTAGGCACAGGTCGGGGAGCAGCAGGTACAGCTAATGACCGCAGGGCGAAGGGATAGGAAGGGGTCAGTAGCAGGACGCAAGCTCACATACCTGGATGAGATAGTGGGAACATAAATTGAGAAGCTCCAACAGCTGTAGGTGACTGCCAGCAGCTAGCACATCCTGGATCACACCTGGCTCCAACAAAATCTGTTTTGTTTTTTAATAAAAAGAGAACTATCAGTGACTCAAAAATTAATGTTTAATATGCAAATCCACCACATTTAAATTGCTGCTTAACTTATGAGATGTGACTTAATACTGTACTTTATTATGGAAGTCCGTTCTTTTTTTTTCTGTTCTGATGGAGCTGTGGCCCTCACTCAAATAGCTGAGTTGTCACTTCCAGAACTCACTTCCTGCGTGTAAGGCTCTGCACTTAACCACTTATTTTTTGCAGGGGGACATGAACATTTGCAAAGAACGATGTAATAGTCTCCAAATTCTGTGTGTGATGGAAGTAATCTTAGAAAATCCAGAAGAACCAGATTTTAGTTTTTTAAAGTATATTTCACAATTTTGTAGATCACAGAAACAGCATGGTTAGCAGATACTTTAGGAAAAGGGGGCTTATGTTTCCCCTTTCAATAGGAGACCAGAGGTGGTCACTACGCCATTTTATTTCTAAGTCCTACAACAGTAAACTTCACCACAAACTTTGGTTTTTCTTTTTCTCCATCTCAGATTCTCCACTCCCTTCTAGTTCAAATGGAAGATGTAGAAAAAGCATTTTCAGACTACAAGGACATCAAGAGAAGTGGAGCATCTCAAATACACCAGTCATATCAGTTGTGCATTTTTTTCTGATGAAGTCCAACTTTGTGCCTACGGTTGCCAGCTCCTGAGCTGCCAAACGGGGCTGCAGAAAAACACACAACCACACTGATTGGATTCCCTCTACATGCATGACTGCCAGGCACAGGGAGGCCTTCAGGGATGCTCTGCTGTCCCAACCCAGGGCAAAGCCCAGTGGTTCCCAAAGTCCAGTCTCAGGACCAGAAGCAGCAGCATCACCTGGGAATCTGTCACATTTGCAAATTCTTGGATGTCTCCCCAGACCTAAATGAATCAGAAACTTTCAGGGTGAGGCCCAGCAACGAGTGTTATAACAAGGCCCCTGGTGGTTCTGGTGCACAGGGAAGCCTGAGAAACCCTGGTGTGATAAATTCACTCTACTTCTTCCCTCATACTCCTTTCTCCTCAAGCTTCCCTCTCCTCCTTTCTCTCCTTACTCTACCCCATGATCTTCCAAAGCCTCCCACCGCCAAATCTACCAAGCCACCTACCCATATTTCTATCAGTACATTTGGTTTTACCCAACACTCCATTTGTGCTGGAGATCTGAACCCTTCCGCCAGCAATTGTCCCCTTGCTTCCCACAGCGTTATCTGTTTGTTCTCTTTCTCCTCTTGATAACTCCCATCAGCATAAAAATATTCCTTGATAGCTCCTATCTTAAGAAATGAAAATCCCCTCCCTTGATCCCAGAGCTCCTTCCACGCCCTCCTTCACAGCAAAGTTCCTCAGGAAAGTTCTCCACATAAAACACCACTATTTGCTCTACTCTGTTCTCCCTGGAACCCACTCCTGTTGAATTTTGTTCTTAATGTTCCTCTAAAAATGTCCTCATCAAGGTCACCAATGACCTCCAAATCCAATGGCCAAATCCAATAGCCATGTCTCAACATTTAATCTTACTCAAGCCAACAGCAGTTAGCAAAGTCGATGTCCCTCTACTAGAACAATCTCTTCCCTTGCCTCTGTGATCGCACTCCCTCTCATGGCTTCTTCTACTTCACTAACCACTCCCTCTCCATCTCCTTCCCAACTGGTAAGCTGTGGGGACATCCAGAACTCAGTCCCCAGATCTCTCCTTTCCTCTCTCCGCTCATTCCATTGATGATCTCATGCAATCCCATGACTTTAAAACTACCTATACTACTCATTACACTCGGGGTTTTTTTCTTTAGCCCCAACCTCACCTTTGAACTCCAGACTTTTATTTCCAACTGCCTATCTCCACTTGGATATCTAATGGGCAGCTCGAACTGAACATGCCCCAAACTGATCTCTTGATCCTCTCTACCAACCACCAAACCTGCTCTTACCCCAATCCTACCATCTCAGCAAACAGCAACTGCCGGTTATTGAGGCTACAACCCCAGTCAATTCCTGTCTCCTCTCGTTTTCCTTATACCTCACATCAGCAACCATCAGCAACCCCTATTGGCTCTATCTGCCAAATAGTTCCAGAATCCAATCACCACTCAGTACCACCGCCATCACTATCATTCTTGTTTACGCCACAGTCTTCCTAGAATTGCCTCCTAACCTGTCTAACTGCTTCCTTCTTCACCCCCTTATAGTGTTTTTCATAATACAAATCAAAATGATCTTTTAAATGCATCAGTGAAATTATGTCACTCCTTATGCAGACCTCTCCAGGGACTTTGTATCTCATTGAAAAGAAATCCAATCCTCACTATAACATAAAAGTTTCTGTGAATACTCTGACACCTTCGTGTCTACAACTAGCTGCTATTTTCTCTGCCTGGGTCACTCTTCCTCAAGATACCAGCATGGCTCACTCATTCATGTCCTCTGCTCAAACCGCTGCTCAGATATCCTCTTACCTGAGAGGCCTTGTCTGGCCATCCTCGGTAAAACAGTACCTCACTCCCCATCACCCTCATTCCCTGTCTCCTTTCTTTGCTTTATTCTTCCTAGTACTTACCACCTCTGACATCGTACATATTTATTTATGTGATTATTTTCTGTTTCTCCACCCACAGGATAGAAGATTCAGGAGAGCAGGGACTTGGCCTATCCTATACCCCCAGCATGCAGAATAATGCCCAACACATAGTTTTCACTCCATATTGATGAATTGATTTTAATAAATTATTGGTGAATTAATTTATCTCTAGATGGATTTTTTAAATTCAGAATTACTTTCATTGATTAGTATAACATAAGAGGAAAGGGATTATAAATTATATATATATTTTTTAAGATTTTTATTTATTTATTTGTCAGAGAGAGCACACAAGCAGGGGGAGTGGCAGGCAGAGGGAGAAGCAGGCTCCCCGCTGAGCAGGGAGCCCAATGCAGGGCTGGATCCCAGGACCCCGGGATCATGACCTGAGCCAAAGGCACATGATGCTTAACCTACTGAGCCACCCAGGTGCCCCTATATAAATCATATTCTGAACCACTAACGAAATGAAAAAGCTAAACACGTGTGGCAAAAATACCAACACTCATCTCATTCGCAAAATTCTTTATAGCTCCTTTCCCATCTAGTCAGAAGGAGAAACCTGAATTTCTCTGGGTCCTCAAGGAGAGAGGCTTTGACTGACATTCAGGAAATTACTGCAGCTCCCTTCACAGAAGCAAGGATGTAGTATATTTTTGCAGAAGAGGCTTGGCCTAAGGCACAGAACAGGGACGCGATGGATTAGAAAGGTTAGTCTGAGCCTTTAAATCCTGTCAGTTGCGCTTATTTCACACAACTGGCATTCACGATAACCTCTAAGGCTCAGTAATGCCAAACACAAAGACAGATATCACAGACAAAGAAGATGAATACTCCAGAGCATGTGTAACACGTCCGGGAGGCTCACTCCGGGAAAGCCTCGCAGGAGATACCCAGACCGGGATTGTTTCTTGTTTTTGTTCTGTAGTTTTTTCTTCTCTCATTATAACATAAGTTTTTCTAGAAGATGCTTTGGCGCAGGAAATCCCTAAGTGCACTGAAAGGACACAGTTTGGAAAGAAAAAAAGAGAGAGAGAGAGAGAGAGGGAGAGACAAAGGGAGAGAGAAACCTAACAAACAAAAAGCAAACCATACCAGGAAAGCTGGGTCTCACTTATGGAAACAGAACGAGTGTTGGCAAAGCCCTGCTTGCACTGGAGTCTTTCAAATTGAGCTCTGTTATCTTCGGTGACTGGTTGTTCTAATATATTCTTCCAGAGAATTTGTGTTTGGGCAGGAATACAAAGAAAAGTTTGATCTCCTCAGTTTCCAGTATGGTGAATGCGCCCATCACCCGCCTGGAAGAACTGGCCGAAAACAGCCTTCTGCAAAAGGAAGGGATCGCAAACTCACCCGTTTGCCGAGGACAACTAAGGTGGCTAAGTTTAAGTGCTACAAAGCACATGCTGGTTACATTTAGGCCTTTCAGAATCATGTACCCATCAGCATCTAGTCCGGCACTCTGAGCAGGACAGATGGGAGGAAGGGTCACTGAGGACCACGGATGGGAAGGGCCGCGTCACTCACCTGCTTGGGTGGAAGCAGAGCTGGGGCTTCTTCAGATTGGACGAAGGAATTTTGATGCAGTCTTTGGGGGTGGGGTGTGAATGCCTCTTGTTGACAGGTCATGTGGATGGAATATTTTCTCCCTGTCATCCACTCACACCTGACCTCTGGAGGGCAGAATACAGGACGCTGATTTGGAAAGAGGGGAGCCGGACAGTGCCGGCTGGGGAGGTGACGATCTCATTCTGGAACCTCTCCAGCAGTTGGTGGCAAGCTAGGTCACATGAACTAAGGTCCACATCTGGCTCCTACCCCAAATGCAGAGACTCAGCCCTCGTTTTGATCAAATGGGGATAAGAACTCATTAGCGGCTATGGTCAGGGCGACATGGGTGGTTTGACAAACTTTTAATAGAAGTGAAAGCCACAGCTGCAGCAGAGGGTGGTGGTCTCTAAAGATACCAGTGAGAGTTCTTACCTCAGCATTCAGTCATGAGGTTGGTCCAATTGGCCCCCTGGAAGGAGGCACTCTTGAAAACTCAGTCCAGATGTGTCCCCCGGCCACTAATCTAAGCAGCGTTGGAAGCGGAGAGCTGAATTTGCACAATCTCTAATGAAAGCCCTCCAAACTAGAATGAGATTGAGACTCCTGGTCCCAATAACCTCAGGCAGGACATGGGGCCAGAAAACTGAAAGAGGAGAGTGGAGGCTGAGGTGAGATTCTGCACAAGGCATGATGAGATGGGCGATCCCCCTCAACCCAGACTCACCCAGCCGGGCTCTGGGAGGGCGGGGTCAGCCTGACGCAGCACACAATCCCCAGTGGGTCCCGGAGTTTCCTTCTTCACTCCTCCTCCCACATCACCAAGCATCCACCCTCTTAATTCTGT